ATGCATCTACAGGTCACTGCCTTGTATCAATTGCTGAATCCCTTTGGGGCTCCAACCATCTCCCTGAAGAGTGGACGGAACAGCCAACATTCACTGAGTGCTCATTAAAGCCTTACGCCCTGTACGTCCTGTCCTAAACACTTCATACACGTCAACTCATTTCATCCTGATGGCAACCTTTTGAGGGAATTGTTTAAAGACAGAGGGAATAGAACCGTTGAGGGAATAGAACCCTTAGCATTCTGAGATCCCAGTGGTGAACTGGCAGCCTATGAGCTAGCTGGGGCCAGTGGATCTGTTTGGTCTGTCCTACATGTTGTTTTAAAAATCAGGACATTTTATATGAAATTCTGGATTTTTGGCATCTTCTGAAAAGTTGGAAGAGCCAAACAACACTGGGCCCACACGTACCCAAATGGCAACCATGGAGTGTGGTAGCCCTGCCTCGTGTGGGCTGGAGGTGGGTAGAGGGCGTCTCCTGTTGACAGCCCCACCCACCCTGCCTCATTCTGGCCCTTGGAGCATTTGAATGGCACCCCCTTCTCTAAGACCCATGGTCTTCTCATTTCAGTATTTTGTAAGTAATGAAATGGGATGGGAACATGACCGAAACAGGGCCAATGAGGGTTGCCTCTGGGCCTTGGCTGTAATTACTGGAGAAGACAGGCTCCCTTCCTGGTGCTTGTTAATGTGACAGAATGTATGATGGAGTCGCTGCAGGCCATTTCTGCCACCATAAAAAGGGAATTTGCCTGAGAGGAAAAAGCTAACAGAGCAAAGCAAGAAATGGGGAGGATTCCAGCCTGTGCTGTAAAGTGCAGTGGCCACTAGCCACACACGGCTATTAACATGTAAATTAATTAAAGCTACATACCATCAAAAATTCAGTTTCTCAGCTGCAGTAGCCACATCTCAAATACGCAGTAGCCACACACGGGCTAGCGTCTACCATCTGGACAAAGCAAACATAGAACATTTCCTTTTTTTTTTTTTTCCTTTTTGTCTTTTTTTTCGTGTCCGGCAACGGATTGCAACCCTCAGTGTCGCGCCCGTACCGGACCGGGACCGGCAACGGGATCGCAACCCTCGGTGTTGCTCCCGCACCTCTCTCAGAACCCTCGGAGGGAGTGCCGCTGCGCTTCCCAAGCGGCGCACTGTAGCAGTGCGCCACCGGGCCGACCCAACATAGAACATTTCCAACATTGACTGTTCTAAGGGAGTGCCGCTGCGCTTCCCAAGCGGCACACTGTAGCAGTGCGCCACCGGGCCGACCCAACATAGAACATTTCCAACATTGACTGTTCTACACTGAATATTGTAAAAATCAGACAGCCCTGTTAGACAATATCTGTGCAGAAATTCTAGCCCAGGTTTTTCAGTTACATGAGCCAATACATCTTTTTATATATATATAAGCCAGATGGAGTTGGGTTTATTCACAATTCAAAGGGTCCCAAGGCAAAAGCCTCCCAGTTAGCACTCTCAAGAATATGACCACCAGGCTGGCCGGTTAGCTCAATTAGTTAGGGTGTAGTGTTACAACACTAAGGTCAAGGGTTTGGATCCCTGTACCAGCTAGCTGCCAAAAAAGGGGGGGGGGAGGTATGACCACTGACCAGCCCTACCATTCACAGATTTAGGTATCACTTCGGTGTTTTCCTTTTATTCAGGTCAGTGCCAGAGAAAATAATCACTGAGCTTTTATCAGCATAAGGATAATTAGACTAATGGAATAGAATACAAAAACTGCTCTCTCCGATTAGAAATAGTGTTTTAAGGGGCTGGCCAGTTAGCTCAGTTGGCTAGAGCGTGGTGCTAATAACACTAAGTTCTAAGGTTCGTCCCTGTACCAACCAACCATTTAAAAAGAATGTGTTTTGGGCCGGCCTGTGGCTCACTCGGGAGAGTGCGGTGCTGATAACACCAAGGCCCCGGGTTCGGATCCCACATAGGGATGGCCGGTTCGCTCACTGGGTGAGCGTGGTGCTGACAACACCAAGCCAAGGGTTAAAATCCCCTTACCGGTCATCCTTAAAAAAAAAAAAAAAGAATGTGTTTTGGGCCGGCCTGTGGCTCACTCGGGAGAGCGTGGTGCTGACAACACCAAGCCAAGGGTTAAAATCCCCTTACCGGTCATCCTTAAAAAAAAAAAAAAAAAAAAAAAAAGAATGTGTTTTTACATCGCCAATACTAAATCAAACCATCATGTGCCTGCTGACATCGTGCAGTGAAAATAGGACATCACCTATGTGGTATTCCTTACGAAGAATGCCTAACTTGAATCTAACAATGAGGAAACAGATAAACCCCAATTGAGGGACATTCTACAAAATAATTCGTCTTTACTCTCCACAAATGCCAATATTATGAAAGAGAAAGAAAGGCTGAGGAACTGTTCCAGATTAAAGGAACCAGAAAAGACACAAGAGGCTAGCCAGTTAGCTCAGTTGGTTAGAGTGCAGCTGTACAACCCCAAGGTCAGGGGTTCAGATTCCAGTATGGGCCAGCCGGAGGGGAAAAATAAAAAAAGGGAGACATGAGAACTAGATGTGATGCCTGACTCTGGATTGGATCTTGGATCAGAGGAAACCATTTCTGTAAAGGACATCATCGGGACAAGTGATGAGGATTTTGAATGGGTTGTATGTTAGGTAATATTGTTATGTCAATGTTAACATTTTTGAATTTGATCACTCAACTGTGGTTGTGTAAGGGAATGTATAAGGATGTCCTTGTTCTTTGGAAAAACATGCTTACGTCTAAAGAGAGTAAAAGAGCATGATCTCTGTAACTAATTCTCAAAAGGATCAGGAAAAAATGAGGGTACTTCAAAAAGTTCATGGAAAGTTTTGTATTATCTTTTAATTCTATTTTTCCATGAACTTCCTCAAGAACCCTCATACATAGAAATAGATTAAACAAAGACGGGTATAATCTGGGTGGAGGGTATAAATTTCTTTTCATGAAGCTCTTTCCTAGGATTGAAATTATTTCAAAGTAAAAAAAGCAAGCAAGTAAGCAATAGTTTTCTCCCTCTCCCTCCACCCAGGGAAAAAAATGCTAGTCTTTCTTATGGCAAGTATCTCACATGAAAAGTAGACTGCTTCACAGTGTTTCCCAAACAGTGCATCCTGTTCTGGGATATCTCAATTTCCTTTTTAAATGAAATAGAAAAATCAGCATTTTTCACATAATAAAGTTTTGTTTTGTGACACTTTATATATAGGTATGTGTACTGGATCACAGTGTTCAACACATTTCTTACTGTGGGTTGCAGTTTTAAAAAATTTTGAAAGCCACTACACCATATTGTTTTGGCAGCTGGCTGGTTAACAGGGATTGAATGCCTGGACCTTGGTGTTATCAGCACCATGCTCTAACCAACTGAGCTAACTCACCAGCCCATACTTTAATTCCTTTTTATAACAAAATACAGTATGGAAAAGTATGCATGGTAGCCATAAAAGGATATTAGCCTTTTTTGTATTTGCTTAAAAAGGTAAATGAATTTATACATTATTTGTATGATTGAAAATTATTTTAAAAGTTACCTTTAGGGCTGGCCTGTGGCTCACTTGGGAGAGTGTGGTGCTGATAACACCAAGGCCACGGGTTTGGATCCCTATATAGGGATGGCTGGTTAGCTCACGTGGGAGAGCCTGGTGCTGACACCACCAAGTCAAGGGCTAAGATCCCCTTACCGGTCATCTTTATAAAAAATAATAAAAAAAAATTTTTTTAAAAAGGTTATCTTTACTTACTAATACTGTATTAAATAACTTTGCTATACATCCTTTGGGATTATAATGAACTAGATAAGGGTATTAGATTTTCTATCACACTGAGAATACTGCTTTTAGAATAAACTCTATTCCTAAAAGTTTTTATACAGGAGAAAACACCTAAATAAAATACAAACTCCACTGAATTTTAAAATTATTTATAAAATACATATCAAGTGTTATAAAGTAACTGGATAAACACATTAGCTTTAAAAATATTATTTATCTAAATATTAGTTGTTTTGGGGGAAGAACTTGGTAGATGACTACATACTAAGGACTTTTTAATTAAGTCTAACAAATTAATGTCCTTTATATTTCATATTTTACTTTTTTTTTTTCAGTGGCTGGCTGGTATGGGATCCAAATTCTTGACCTTGCTGTTATCAGCACCACGCTCTACCCATTTTATATAATGGGTGCTTGGTAAACATTTGTTGGGTGACTTTTCATATAACCTCAAACAAGAAAGTAGCCTTTATACAAGTCTATCTTTATTTGTAAAAAATAATATACAACTAAAGCTAATTTAATTTTTAAAATCAAAGTTCATTTAGTGATAATGTACATTTTATAATAAAGTTGTAGTAAAATACTGACATTTGATAGTTTAAACAAAGTGTCATTCATGTAAAAATCATGTTATAGCATGTAAAATTTAATTAGAAAATTCATAGTTCACAAAAGTACATATATTTTGTTGATAGCTCAAGAACATTATTATAAATTTACTTAAGATACAGAATGAAGTTCACAGTTAGGCTTGACATTTAGTACTATAAAATTTTATGCTGGATCCACAGATATCTCTGTTAATAAGATGCACTTGAAATAATTGATTCAGACTACCAATGAATTGATATTTTATTGTATAACCAAGATCTATTGGTTTTATGATGTCTAGTAATCAATTATTTCACCAATAATTTAAATGACAGAGACCTAGCTGAAAACACCATTGACATATATCCTTAACAGGATAATTAAAATAAAAAGCACTAGCAGCTCTGATTTCCATTTTCATGAGTACATACAAGATAAATCTGTATTTTACAGTTAAAATTTGTACAAAAAGTCAAGCCCTGAAGTATTTTTCCCCCAAGAGAAAAGTTCTGATGTTAAAACTTTGTTAAAAAAAAGAGAGAGAGGTAGTATGTAAAAGTATTTTTACTTAAAATGTTGAACCCTTGCACCACTTACATTATAAATGAAACATACTAACATTATTCTCCTTCCAAGAGTCAAATTTATAAGACTCGGAATGTTAAAGCCAGAATGTCATTAAAAAATAATGGTATACAAATGGAAGAACTTCGGTGAATTCAACAAAAAGTACATTGTATTACATAATGTTGTGCAGTCAGTTAATAGTGTACTGATAATATGCTTAGTGGTAATGTGAACAAAACACACTGAAGTATTCTGAGCCACGTGATCTTCATTTAATCAAGACTTTACTTCATATATTTTACCATATAGAGAAAACATCCTTCAAAATGGAGTCATTTGAATCTTCATTGTTTTAATAGCACACAATTGTTATAAAGGTATCCATACTAGTCCTACCATAAAATTAATTAATAAATAACTCTCCATAAGCCACAGAGAACTTATGTACCTCATAATATTCTTAGTGTCTTATATACAAGCATACTGTAGTGCCTGCGCACATTGTACAGTGAAATCAGGCAAGGAATGAAAGTTAGCAGCCTTATTCTTGACGTCTTCTAAGTGGATGCACTGGAAAGTAATAAATAACCTCATAAAATCAACAGTGATAAATTCTACCTGCCATAGGTGAATACTACATATTTTTCATAAAGTGTAGGCAGCATTCCTAGAAATTCCATAAAGTAAAATCCAATTTTTTTGTATAAAAAGTGCACGAGTTTATCCTGTGTGTTAATAAATCTCTGAATTTGGGTGCATTTTTAATCAAAAATGATTCATATCACTTGAATACATTAAGAGTATAAAAGCACACCAACAAAACATACACACTAAAAAAAGGAATGATTCTCAATGAGATGGGGAATGAGGACAAGAACAGGTTAAAGGAGAGTCTCCCGCATCACCGGAGTCAATGGGATTGCCTTTTAAAACATAAATTACACCCATATGGAATTAGTTTGTAAATATGACAGCTATAAGATGGACAAATACCAACTCGAACAACTGTTAGAGTTTCATAACTCAAGAACACAGCTTCAACACTTTACAACATGGGAAGCAACTCCTAAAAACAGTCAATTGATTTCATTTCTTAGAAATTAGAAAAAATGCATCTGAAAAAATAATTTGCCACAATTAGTAACAGAGGAACAACATTAAAAAATCGAAACAAAATATCGGGAACCTAAGAGCTGAGGTCCCCAGTGTACCAAAAGAGATAGAACCAGACTTCTTCACATCAGAATTTTAAAAATATAGTTAAAGGAAAAATTAACTGGGCTCTGCACAGCAGTTTAAATATGCAACCACTTCAAACAGAAATGATCTAGTTCTCTCACACAGTTCTGAGAATGTGCTCTAATATCCAGTTCTCCATAGACAAAATAGCAAAAGCACATAATTTCATCAGCAAAGGCCCCTTTTAGATTTAAATTCACCTCTGACCCAAAGTTTATATTAACAATTACCAAACTACTATTTAAATAACATTTTAAACTTGCAATATTCTCTTTCTCATGCCTATTCCACATCACTGGTTCAGAGGTATACATATATGCTTTAAACCAGCCAAATTTACAAGTTCCCAAGCCATTCTCACTCAGAGAACATTCAAACAATGGTTTCATAACGTTATAATTGTTCCATCTTCTTCTAAGAGTTTTTGATCTGGAGCACGTGTTTCAAATTCTGTGTTTGTGCCACTGGCTACGGGTGCTAAGCTCACTTCATTAGAAGGAATAAAACCATTCTGTCCAGACTCAAAACTGAGCTCTATTTGTGCTAATGATTCCAGGCTCTCGGTATTCCGAACAGCTTTTGGAATCTGCTGTGGCACTCCGTTGTCTTCAATAATAATGTCATCTTCCTCACTGTCTTCATCCTCTGGCTCAAAGCTTGGTTCGATCTGCTGTGGATAGCCGGGAAGGCTATTATCAGTAGACTGGCCGGAGCTGCCGGATGTCCGACTATTTCTAACAACATTATTCCTCTGGTTTGCTGGTCGCACTGTTATGATGAGGTTGCGGCTGTTTGCAATCATCATGTCTGTTACTTGATCAAGACTCTTCCCTGAAACTTCTATGCCATTAACTTCTAAAACTTCATCATTAACAGCTAATAGTCCTGTGCTTTGAGCCAGACCTCCTGGGACAAGCCTGGATATAAAGATCCCTGGGACCTTCTCTAAGCCATGTGGTGTTACCCTGACACTGGAGCCATCCCGGATGTAGAATCCTAAGGGTTTCTCAGTGCCATATTTGTAAAGACGAACCCTGCGATGTGTTTCTGGGAGAATATCCACGTCTATAATAGAAGACACAGGTCTGAAGTCTTGGGGCATACTAATGACTATATGTGGCTTTTTTCTATGGTTGTCAGGACGCAGTACATTGGTTAAAACATTCTTCTTCTTTATTAGCGTGTCTGTACCAAAGGCACTGTAGTCTGCTTCTTCTGTTTAAAAATAAAATAAAATAATTATAGAAATGCTGTAAAAATACCCATTTATCTGCAGTTAAATCTGTACAGATAACTCAAATATTAGGTTACCTTAATTAGATCATAATGTAGTATAGCACTAAGATACACCATACCAGAAAATACCACTAGGTGGCCCTCTCAAATACACATCACAAAATTACCAAATATTAGTGTTAAATTTGATAAAGCTCATTTACTATTAAACATTAAATATGGCAATGAAATTTTTTTTTTTTTTTGTCCTTTTTGAGACCGGCCACCCCGCGCTCAGCCAGTGAGCGCTGGGAGCGCACTGGTCATCCCTATATAGGATCCGAACCCGTGGCGGGAGCGCTCCTGCGCTCCCAGTGCCACACTCTCCCGAGTGCGCCATGGGCTCGGCCCGGCAATGAAATTTTGATAGATCTTATAAACACATCCTTAAACATCATTTTAAACCAGTCACTCGGGCCGGCCCGGTGGCGCACTGGAGAGTGCGCTGCTTGGGAGTGCGGCGGCGCTCCCGCCCAGGGTTCGGATCCCATGTGGAGACCGGTTCCCGCTCACTGGCTGAGTGCTGTGCGGATGCAACACCGAGGGTTGCGATCCCGTTGCCAGTCAGCAAAAAAGACAAAAAAAGGAAAAAAAAACAAAAAAAAACAAAACCAGTCACTAAAAATACATGAAAAAACCTCCAATTTGCATGTTTATCATATCAACTCAATAACATGAAACAGGACACTTGATTCTTAAGTTAAATCAAGGGAGCAAAATCAAATACCTGCATTAGTATCTGGGGAAATAATGTAATTAAGTGAAGCGGGTGCATATCGAACACTTAGGAAATTCAGTCTTCTGTAAAGAAAAACTCTCTCCTTCAGTTTCCTGGGGGAGTTCTGAATCTTTCCTTTCCCCGTTTTTAAAGAGGCAGAGGTATAAGATTTTAAACTTTTTTCTTCACTGTATGAAAAACAATAAAGTGCTATGACATTTTTTCTCAGTGGCGGTGACACAGACAACAGGGAGCAGTAAGGATTCTGGCAAACTGCAGGGCTCCTGCCCCATTTAAATGGCATAGCTGCTCCTCAGTTCCAGGCAAATTTTCTTCATTTTAGAAAGCCTTGTTTTTAGGCAAAATCTTCCCATTTTTAAAGCTGACACCTAATTAAATAACAATAACAAAAAAGCAGCAAAAAACTCTGGGCCAAATAACAGATCTGAGGATTGAGTTCATTCCTCGAGCCACCAATTTATAATCTCCAATATAAACTAAGGGAAAAGAGGACACCTAATACCAGATATTGTTAAATCATATGGCTGAAGAAAGACAGTCTAGAATCAAAACATCTCATCAGAGGATGAGAGGTAAAAAAAAAAAAAAAGAAAGAAAGAAAGAAAACGAAATTAACAGGAACAAAAGTTGAAATCATATTTTCAAAAATAACCGGCATGAGGATAAACTAAAAAGCCAAATTTCCCAGGATAAAAATACTTTAGTAAGAATAAAATAGATAAAAGCCCTCCCCCCACCCCCGCCAAAAGAACTAGTTCAAATCCTAGTCTTAGCTACAGATACAGAGCGCACTAATATCACCACCCTGCATTTGTACAGTGCTTCAGTTTTTATTCTTTCGCTTGATCCTCAACCCCCCTATTGGCAGGCTATTGTCATCTTCACTTTATAGAGACCAGGAAATTAAGGGTACAAAATAAATTACAGAGAAAGGACTACAACCCAGGGTTTCTTACTGGGCCAGTACCTTCCAAGTTCCCATAGTTAATGTTAAGTATCAATCATGTGTCAGAGTATGACAAGCTTTAGTATTCTTTTCTAATGCTGCGTGAACACTCTTCAAAACTTAGTTTCAGGGCCGGCCCGGTGGCGCACTCGGTAGAGTGTGGCGGCGCTCCCGCTGAGGGTTCCGATCCCATATAGAGACCGGTCCGCTCACTGGTTGAGCGCGGTGCGGGCGCGACACCAAGGGTTGCGATCCTGTTGCCGGTCGCGGTACGGGCGCGACACCGAGGGTTGCGATCCCGTTACCGGTCATGAAAAAAGACAAAAAGGAAAAAAAAAAAAACAAAAAACAAACAAACAAAAAAAAAAACTTAGTTTCAGGGCTGGCCAGTTAGCTTAGTTGGTTAGAATGCGGTGTTCCAATACCAAGGTCAAGGTTCAGATTTCTGTACCTGCCAGCCGCCAAAAAAAACCCACCTAGTTTCAGGTAAATATACAAGACTAGGGGTATATTATTTTGGGGGTTTTCCACCCCTTGGGGATACTTCTGTCTTCATTTATAAATTAAGTATTTACGGTGCGTTCTTACAGAGACAGAAATTCATTTATAATTTGGCTTTGGAAATAAATCCACTGATGCAAGAACCTTTTTGGCAAAATTTGGCCACAAACCTGTCAAGAATAGTCTTCTACTGAATGTGTTTTCTCAAATTAACACATATTTTTATTTTAAAACAATCAATAATGAAAGCCTCTATAACATTTATAAGGGAAATTCCAGACCATACAAACTGAGAACAAAATCAAGTTGCCTACATACCTACTCATGGGAAACCTGACCAAAAAAAACCCCAAATCTGCATAATTTGGCAATGCATCCAGACTCCATTTGAATGCTCTCTGCTAAATTCTCAAAAGCAATATGCCCCAGAACAAAGGCACCTTTGTTCTCCCATCTAGCTAATCAGTTTCCAGCCACTGGGAAAAGAAATATTTTGGCAGAAAGCCAGGGTTCAGGGTATTAGTTTAAAGTGTAAAGGTGAATGTCCACAGGAATTAGAGTTGACTTTCTACCTGAGCATATCAGAGTACTAAACTCAGAACGAGGTGGGAAGTTTTGTAAACTTCCTTCCACTTGTATAAAACCAGACATGTGACAGTACATGGTATAGACTTATACAGCAATACCTCACTTATCCCAAGCCTGTCCTTCAGCCAACAATCTCAGCTAACTGGAACAGACAAGGATCCACCTAGAAGGCCTCTGAACAGCCAACTGGATGTCTTCCTTATACACAAAAAGCTTCTATGCTTTACTTACAGAGAAGCCCCGCAGGGCCTCCCTCTCAACCTCTTATTCTTTAAATGTTAATTCTGAAATGTCTACTTAATCTCATTCCTTAGCTCACTGAGAGTCATAAGTTACTCATTCAGAGAAAGGGGTAAGGGTCCATGTGTGAGCAGCAGGCATAGATACAAGAAATAAAAGCCTACAGTGAATAAAAAGCAAATCTGAAAAAACAAAAAGCTCTATATAAACTCCATCAGCATTCCCTATACGGTAACATTTCACGGTAAAGTCATGAAGAAAGTTCAAGATTATGCCTCATTAAGAATTAAGTAATTCTTTTTTTTTTTTTTTTGTCTTTTATCTTTTTTCCGTGTCCGGCAACGGATCGCAACCCTCAGTGTTGCCCCCGTACCGGACCGGGGACCGGCAACGGGATCGCAAGCCTCGGTGTTGCTCCCGCGCCTCGCTCAGCCAGTGAGCGGGAGCCGGTCTGTATGTGGGATCCGAACCCTCGGACGGGAGCGCCGCCGCGCTTCCCAAGCGGCGCACTATCCAGTGCGCCACCAGGCCGGCCCCAAGAATTAAGTAATTCTTAAAAGTGTTCTAATCCAGGGGTTGACAATCTTTTTCCATCAAAAGTCAGACAGTTAAGTATTTTAGGTTCTGCAGGCCATACAGTCTCTCTTGCAAAAGCAGCCAGAGGCAATACATAAAGGAATATGCGTGGATGTTTTCCAAGAAAAGTTTCTTTACAAAAATAGCCAATAGGCCTTAGTTTGCCAACCCTTTTTCTAATCCAAAATGATTAAATGAAGTAGATCTGCCAACTTTAAAAGGATTAAACGTCACTTAAAGCCATATTCAAATTTTGCAGACCCCTTCATTTCCCAATATTCTAATCTATCACCAAATACTTATTATTAACACCTACTATGTGCCAGGCATTGTGCTCTGTGGTGCAGATTCAGTGAACAAAATAGATGTGGTCCCTGCTTTCATGGTGCTTACTGTCTAAAAGAGGAGACAGCAACTAGCAAATAACTTCAAATAATTAAATTATTACAAAGGTGCCAAGAGCTGTGGAGAAGCACAGCATGCTGGGGAAGTGTGTAATGGGGATCTCAGCTCGTGTGCAGGGTGAAGCAAGGATTCCTGGGGACGTGAGGTTTCTGCTAAGACTGGAAAAGCAGCCAGGAGCTAATCAGGTAGCAGGGAGGAAGATCACTCCAGGCACAGGATGCAACAAATACAGAGAAGAGCAAGGGTGGGGTAGAGAAGTCCAGTACAGCGAGGACAGACGGTGGGAGGGGAGAGGGAGCCAAGAGTTAAGGTAGAGGCAGCCAGGGGCCAACCTGACACACAGGGCCTCCTAGGAAGGTTAAGGTTAATAGACTTTAACCTAAGGGCAATGGGAAGAAAACCAAGGATTTTAAGGGAGAATGATGGTAACGTCATTTGGTTTTTCTCTAAAGCTCACTCTGGCTGCAAGCTGGAGAATGGAGTTGAGGGGGAGGATAGGAGGCTACCGCAGTAATTTCGGATGTTGCCTGGCCTGAAGCACAAGCAGTAGAGATGGGAAACTAATTGAAAAATAATTAGAACACAGTTTTAATGGGCTTGGTGACTGACTGAAAAATGGGTATGTGTCAAAGGTGACACCTAGGTTTCTGTCATGAGCAACTAGTATCATATTCTGAAATGTTATTCCACAATTTCTTCCTCTTATTTTTTATTTCTGCGGCTGTATCTTTTGTTAAACTATATTTCGCAATTCACTACTAAAATGTATATCCTTAGAACATTTTTAAATTAAAATCTAACCTTAAAATACATCTACAGGGGCCGGCCCGGTGGCGCACTGCTACAGTGCGCCGCTTGGGAGTGTGGTGGCGCTCCCGCCGAGGGTTCGGATCCCACATACAGACCGGTTCCCACTCACTGGCTGAGCGAGATGTGGGCGCAACACCGAGGGTTGCGATCCCATTGCCGGTCCCGGTCCGGTACGGGC